CCCACAAACATCTCCACGGCAGAGAGGGCACACCCTGTTAAACACCAGTTACAGGCAGGCAGGAACAATGAGCTTGCTGTGACCCACACAAAAACAAACAAAGAACACACCGAAATAATTGTGAACAAAAACAGGGAAAGGTAATGTTATGGTACCCGTGTATCTCTTTGAGCCATTTATCAATGCATGGCATATGGTACTCGTGATGGCAGGGAAGGACTCTTATTTTATCCCCTTCCTCGTATTCGGCCAGACATATATAACATCTGCAGCACATTTCATTAATTTACAGGTTGAAGTAAGCAAAAACAGTAAGGTGAGAATTACGGAACTCATAAAAAGGGAAAAAAGAAAAAAAGAACCATGTCAGCTAACCCATGCAAAGCTAAGTTACCCTTTCCGACATGATGGTGACTGTGATTAGTAATCACATGGAGTTATTTAACTACTGATGTCTGATGACATGTCCTCAGCCAGATAAAGATGGGTCTCCTAGCATTTGTATCATTTTATGGTTTGGTCCCAAATGGCAATATATAAAAATCCTGCAACTTCAAGTGATATACATCCTTTACTGCCGCAAGAGAATTTCCCTTCAGGTGCTAATTAACTAGTCTACTAAATGTGCTCCCTGCAAGTCTGCAACAACTCATTTGCCTAAACAATCCCAACATGTGATTATCTCAAAGCATGCTTTCCATGCACCTAAAGCCTTGATCATCATCAAGCACTTTTCTCCCACAACTGGCAATTTTACAGCCCTTGCTCAACCTCGATAAGGAGCGAAGTCCAGTAACAACAAGCCAGGCCATCTGTAACACAGTGTGTAACCATGCAACAATGGTCCAAGAAGCAAATCTCCAAAAAATCAAGCCAAATTACGAAGAGACTCAAGAGCCTAATGCAGACTGACCCAATATGCACAAGAGCAGTTGACTTTTTCTTCAAGTTTGCACCAAAGTCAAATTGGCAGGAAACACACTTGCCTAATATGCACGAGAGCAGTTGATTTTTTCTTCAAGTTTGCATCAAAGTCAAATTGGCAGGAAACACACTGGACTAACATGCCACCCACCAAAAAGTGCAAGCCTAACTAAAAAGGAAATGCATATTAGTTACCCACTATATTGGAGTCAACCTGCCTCAGACTGACATTGTAGGTCCTGTTTGGTTTACCGGAATAGGGGTCTGGAATCGGAATCAGAATGGCTCATTCCAATTCCAACTGTTTGGTTGGGCGGAATCGGAATCCCATTCCCACCTGTGGAATGGCATTCCCCCATTTGAGAGAATGGCCATTCCCTCCTTCCCATTCCAATTCTTGTCTGAACCAAACAGACCATGGGAATAGACCATTCCGATTCCAATTTTTCCATTCCAGTTCCAATTCCAGTTCAGATTACAAACCAAACGGACCCGTAGTCTCTTTTACAAGGAACCATGGACTCATAATACTTCAAAAATCATAATATACCAACAAACTTACTGTTCCACATCAGCTCCAGTCTCTGCTGTGTTAGCTTTCTTGTGACTCTTAAGAGGAAGTGCATTAACAACAGATTCTGGAGCTGGGACTGAGACCATTGATAGTGAAAGGGGCACAGGTTGGCGGTGAATTTCATCCAAAACCTGCAAATCACATCAGAGACCAAAAATATGAAAACAATCAGAATCTAAGGAATATTTTAGGAGGGAGCTTTTATTCATACAAAATAAATAAATTCAAAGGAACATTGCTGTATTAGCTTGTACAATTCTGTATTAGAACCAAATCCTTAGGGGTAAGGTGCAACTACTATATGTTTAAACATTAGAACCCCTCCTAACATATTAATCTTTGAAATACTGGGCTGGAAAAAATAAATAAAAAATAAAAAAAAAACATCACGGGGAATCAGGAGAGGGAACAGAGCAGGATGCATGTGAGGCCCCTGGACCATACCATGGAGAGCCTGCAGTTCTGTAGGCTTGAACCTGCACCTCCTGAGTGACCATCTCAACTACTGGGTCATTGGCTGCAGGCACTAAGGTTAAGCAACTCTTGCTGATCCTCAACTCAACCTGACACTGTGCTAAGCATCAGCTTTTAAATCAATCCCCCACCACCACCACCAAAACAGAAGATAAACGAGGGTGTGGAGAACGAATTGGGATCTGCTCCTCACAGAACGCTCCTCACACTGACCTCACAGCCACATGGCCCACATCCCACTGTGTATTGGGATTTGAAAACATCTCCCATGAATAATAACATACAAGTACAAGAGATGTTCCTGATGTGCGGCTGATACATGCTGTGAGATCAGTGTGAGGAACAGATCCGGACTCGTGGAGAACTGAGTTGGACTGCAAATTCAACTACATATAAAGAAAATTGAATTGTTTTCTTGAAGCACCAAATTCTTTGTTACCATTAAACCAAATAATGCATTTATTCAATAGGAATTTAGGGAGAATCATAACCACTGAAAGAAATATTAAGAGAAGGAAGCATGGAAATTCTTAAAAACTTTGGAAGGATGTTGAGGCTGAAGGTTAATCTTCACAACCAATCAGAAAATACGTTAGTCTCTACCAAAGTTTTAAAACACAAAGGCCTAACGAGGCACCCCACCACCCAGAGGTGTGAAGCGTAGTTCAAAATGCGAGAGTCTTCTCCTGCGTTCAAGGAGGCATAAGCCTCCTCAATAGGAGGTGGAGGAGTTTTCTCTTCTTGAGGCATGGATTAGGTGCATGAGGTGTAACAGGCATACCAAAGGTGTTTGAGGCATACGCCTCAGGGCATTTTTTGAATGCTTCGTGCCTCCAAGCATACACAATACACCTACATGCTTTTTAAAATATTGATCTCTACAAGAGTGCAATGATTGGAGTGAATGATCAAATGGAGGATTTCTAGCATGCCGGAACAATGGAGTGTTAAGTAGGAAATTTTCCATTTACATATTGGGTAACTGGGTGTTCCCATTGGAGAAAATGTATTTGCTTTCTCTATGTGGCAAGCAATGATAGATAGGGTGGAGAATAGATTAGCGACATGGAAATGCAGATATCTTTCCTTCAATGGCAGAAATACTCTTAGTAAGAGTGCCGTTAAAGGTCAAGGCAAAGGTTGTGAGCTTGAGATATTTCAAAATGACTTTTTATGAGAGGGCTGGGATAGAGGGAAGAATTGCAAAAAGTGGGTGATTCACGAATAAGGATTAAGGAAATGAATAGAGCCTTATAGGAAAATGTCTTCGAATATTTGGTGTTGAAAGAGATGCATTRTGGAGGATGGTGGTGTGCAAGTATGTGGTTGCTAGATTCAATAGAATACAATGGARGTTTCAGCTTCCCATGGGATTACCATGTGGAAAGGGATTATGAAGTTTCAGGCAGGATTTACAAGATAAACAGTTTTTAGTAGGTAGATTAGGTGAGATTTTGGGAAGATGAGTGCTGTGGATTAGGAAAGTTATGCAACGTATGTCCCAGATTGTACAGGTTAAGCATCAAAAATCACACTCAATTAATATTTTGAGAAGAAAGGATATGTGGTCTGGTTTCCAGCTTTCACAAGACCATTGTTGGATAGAGAACAGGAAGAATGTATTATGTTGCTCTCTAGGTTGGAAATAACAAACAATGATCCAACTGAGGATGACATAAGATGGTGGAAGGAGTGTATTCACATAAATTTTACTATGAAGTCCTATTATGAAGGCATCATAAGAGGACAAGAAACAGACTCAGAAACTTACGGAATATGGGGAAATCCCATTATACCTAGAACTGAAGCATTTGCACAAGTAGTGGCACTAGACAACATTCTAAACTCTAGACCATTTGAAAAAGTCTATCAGCTTCCAAGCATATGTGAAATGTGTAAAATTCAAGAACAAGATGTCAGATGTTCATTCATCAATTGTCAATGGACAGATTTCATTCGGGATTTCAACATTTTTGACGTTCAAAAAATTTGTTACTGGTGCCAAAAGAAATTTTCTCATTATGACTTAAGATAGGAAAAAAGCAAAAATCATCTGGCATTTGATAGCTCTTGTTGTTTGCTGGATTGTGTGGAAGGAAAGAAATAGATTGAATTTGTGAAGACAAGTACCAATCAACGGCAAAGCCAGTTGCTGACATCTCACATATAATTGCTGATTGGGCTCTTGTGCATCAAGATTTTAAATAAGTGAGAGGAGAAGATTTAGAAGATATTCTATGGATATCTTTGGGTTTAGGCATCGTACTGGGATGAGTTGTAACCAAAGTTTTTTTTGGTCCTTAGTTTTCTATTTGCCTTCGTTAAATCCCTTCATCTAGATGGTTGTGTTCTCTTTTTCTCTTAATGACTTTTGTCCTTTTACTATAAATAATGAGAGAACTTAAAAAATAGATGTTACAATATCATGTGACCACATGAAGACTTTTTCCCCTTTTTTATTGCATCACAGTTATGTTAGATAAAATACAAGAATTCTCTTAATTTGCATCACAGATATCAATATCAGGTAGAAGTGGACTGCCAGACTTAAACCCATACTCTTCTTTTTCCCCTTCCATTTTGATGTGTTTCAAACTCGTATCCTATTACACCTAATAAATACTACTAATCACCAAACCACATTATTCAGATCCTTGTGATTTAGAAAAGACATTCAAAACATCATTGTCAAACCCATACCAACAAACTTAATCAACTATTAGTGGGGGGAAAAAACATGCTGCCAAGGTCATAAAACTCACAAGCAGGCAGTTCACCAACAAACCCATGCCACAAACAAAATCAACCCTTCAATGATAAAATCGGCCACAAAGGCACAAAAGGCAATGAAACTTAAGAGCAGACTGCTTACAAGTCTCATTAACTACCACAATGGCATTTCCATGTGATAAAAGGAAATTGATGCTTGCATTTTAGAAAGTTACAAAATTCTGAAATGAAAGTATTAAGAAAAGAATATCAAACAATTACTAAAGCCAAAAAGCACACCAAAGACCAAATCATTTAATTCAATGGGATCTACCTCAAATAATGCTTCAGCTAGCATGACTATTCGTGAAATACTTGCACGAGTACCAGACTCTTCAGCCACTAAGAAACTTCCACATGAACATGTACCATCAGGATGTAGTCCAGATGCACAAAAAGTTGTTCGCCTTCCATTCTCATCAAAGCCACCACGAAGTCTTTCCCAGATCTAAAAAGTTAAATGTGCATTAAATTTAATGAAAATAAAGGAGAACAGAAAGGCCAAATGAATGTCAATAACAGTTCTGTTCACCCATTGCATTTTCCAAACAGAAAAGGAAAATGGAAGGTATATAAGACAACAAGAGAGAGAGAGAGGACCACCTCAGATCCTGAGTTCCATCGCCGTTCATAAATTCCATGGCTTCTGCCTAGGTATCCTGATTCACCTCCAAACCCATCTTCAAAAAGATCGCCACTGAAGTCAAGGAGCCATCTGTCGGGAGATCCCAGATCGTCAGCATCTTCAGTTGAGAAAACTATGGTTGGGGAATCAATATGCCTTCTAGAACTGCGTCTGGAAAATGCATCCCAAAACAATCTTCTACTGTTTCGTCTTGCCTCACGGTTACTAATATCCCCAGAGCTACTAGATAAGATGTTGGAAGAGATACTCACCACATCAACATGAAGTACACTTCCGATTATTCTTTCCTGATGCCTATCAGACATGGCGAATCCTGAACCTGTGACTGATGCCTCATGAGATGGATCATCTGCTAGTGACCGCAAAGTAACTTGTGAATCCGAAAGAACAGGAGCAGAATCTGCATCAGAATTCTGGACACCCAAAGGTTCACCCATACGATTTTCAACGGCTGATGTAACATTTGCAAATGAATCACCATGTTCATGATGAGGGGAACTACTTGAACATGTCTTCTCTGGATCAGAACAATTCTCACTTGTAGAATTATTAATCTCAACAGGCGAATCCAAGCTAGATTCTTGATTTATAGAGACTGCATCTATAGGTTGCTGCCCTTTAAATGAGGTACTAGCCACATCTAATGGACCAGTATCAGCATTTTCCTGACAAGGAACTAATTCCTTACTCTTTGAGTAGTACTTAGTATTTTTACATTTTTCACCATTTCTTGACCTGCATTCTAGACAAGCATTCTCATCAGGACTATTGTTGCTTTCAGATGATGCTCCATCTTCAGTCTTGGAGCTGGAACACTCGGACACTGAATCAAATATTGGTGAGGATTCCATCCTTGAGTTTTGGATTTCATTAATAGCAACCAGATCATGAGCTTGTTGAGAACTAGACAGTAATTCAGCCGGATGATCTTCCATCTGCAGTTAAGGAACATCTCCATATGTCAAATCTCACTTTCAATTACATGTGGCATCAGCATGCACAGAATGATTTTAATATCAGAAAACCACAGATAGAGTAAAATACTGCCAGTAAAAAAATGATGATCATTGCATAAAGTAAAGCACTTCAATATCAATCTGTACTACAACTGGCCATAACACTGTAACTAGTAACATTTAAAGATGAACTGATCCAGTTCCTACTTGAACTTCAAGTATTAGTCCATGCCCAAATAATATACAAACATTTCTTGGATGTACAAGAAACGTTTAAAAGATACGCTCAAGTAATTCTCCTGAGAGGCCACTATTTACCAGCAAACTCTTATCAACAAGGAATAGATTTTTCTAATGCTACTAATACAATTTTGAAAAGCCCAAGCATGGTTAACAGATTAACAACCACACTGAAACAAATAAAAGGGCTTGCATGTAGCAATTATCACCTTCAGAAAACTACACCATCCAGGATCCAAACATATGACTCTGTAATTAGCACCCAAGGACAAGCCTGTCTATATCTACCTGGAGCATCCTATATTCAGTACCAAACTCGCTTCAACTCCTCCATTCCACAGTTAAAAGTTGAGTCCTATCAAGCGTAGGTCAGAATAAGTTGGGAGCTTTGCTAATACAAAGCGAATTCCTAACTCCACTGATAGTTACATAGATTCTACTGATAAAGTTTATCATGTACGATTTTTAACTTCAAGCCTTCAAAATCAATTATTCCAATCCAAATTTAAAGAAATGAAAGACAGAGTTCATGAAGACCTGATTAACAATCAGGCTCTACAGGATAACAGGACCAATTGTACCCGTTTCGCAATAAACATTATTTTTAATCCGAATCCGTGGAATCTACTAAAAAAAATGCATATAATGTGTCTAATCACGTCCATTTCACCCTGAAACTCTTAAAAACAAATAAAATTCCACCAAATGTTGCCCATTAATTGAACTTCAAATAAACGACTAATTAAACCCTAATGAAATAAACAGAAATCAATCCCCAAATTATACCCACAAGATTGTCAATCTTCCACATCAATCGATCGATCTCCGGCCATAAAGAAATCGATGTTAGGGTTCACATCTTATCTATAAAACAACATAAATAAAATCGAAGCAGCTGAAAGAGCTCCATAGCTCAAGAAATCGATAAGAACAATTGGACCAACAAAGCATGCTTTATTTTCCATTTCCGGGTTCTTGACAACATCACCTCAGCCGAAGCGTGAGAAGAGGAGCCACCGCAAATCAACGAGGAGAGCCTTCTCGTCTTCCAGCGGTTTACTGGCGACCGAGAAAGGCGGGAGCCCAAACGACTGCTGCCCGAACCCATCTCACCCCAAAACCTTCACACACACGCACACACAAAGACTCGCAGAGAGAGAGAGAGAGAGAGAGAGAGAGAGGGCCCTCTTGTTATATATGCGAGTGGGAGTACATGGTAAGCTAAGCTGACTACAGCGAGAGAGAACGATATGACATATGAGGAGAAGCACCCACCCTAAACCCCGTCTCCTTTTAAAATTCTAATGGAAAATGAAAGCATCTTCGATTAAAAAAAAGAAGAAAAATAAAGAAAATGAAAGCATCAGCCGGGGTGAGTGAGTCACCCATTGTCCAGAATGGCCAAAAGGATAGCCACGTGGCAAATCAAAAACCGTTGACCTGAATTGCAAATTTGCAAGAAACCCTCTCTTACCACGTGTCGCGCATTCCAGTCCCCGTTAATGTGCCGTCCTCCTATTGATGCAAACTTTACAGGTGGCACGTAAGAGAACAAGTTTTAATACAAGCGGTTATATTCCTCCACGTGGCTATTACAAGCCACGTCAGTAACCGGGGATTCTCCGCAGTTGACTCAATTGTAATTTATTAATTTTGTCCTTTTTTATCTCTTTAAAATGCATGAAATCTCAAATCTGCTCTTTGGTACCATACATGAAAAGTTTAAAAGCATGTTGCGTCATACGTGATTCTTTGTTGGGGAGCGTCTTCTGCGCAAGTGCTTAAAAAGGTCAATAGCATAGTTCAAGGAAGAAGCGGTTATAAAGCACTCGCTCGACTCACGTGAAGGAGTTTCAGTATTTTTATAATTATATATTTATTTTAGAATCATTTTGAAAATATTTCCTGTGAAATTGCCCTAATCCTTGCTTAATTGGAGGATGTTGTCTTTTCTTATGTATTAAGTGAGTTTGTTATACTGCTACCGTCGGTGCCTCGAAATCAATCAATTGATGTAATTAAGATATGCTACCTTGAGTTTACTTTTAGCGCCAAGCTGTACATTTCATGAAAGATAAAAAATTCGATGGAAATGAGATCGGGCAAATCTGTGCCCACACCATTTTAACAACCTTTTTTAACCTTGTATTGAGAATATACAATAAAGCATTCAAGTACAGATATATTCTCAATGCAAGGCAGAAAAAGCTGCCCAAATGGGACTTGCCCTAATAGAAGCCAAACTCGATGGAAATAGTAGTAGCTATTAGGGTGATGTTTGAAATTATCACTAATAAAACGAATTTGGTTTCTGTCGGGGCAAAGCCTGATCGAACAGCCCTTATAATAGTATTGTTTTATTTTATGGGGAGACATTTTCAATGTCCGATTCAAAAAGTTTGTTGGAACGGTGTAGGCATGGGCTTGCCTTTATGGAAGCCAATCTCCAATAAAACTACCTTGCTAATAAAGTCTGTAATAACATTGGTGTCCCACAAGCGCCTCATATGCACATCTCTGCAGGCATTGGAAACATTTTCCCGTTAGGAGGTGCTGTGGGGTGTTTGTGGGGCGCCTGATTTCATCTTATAAAAGTTTTAAATTAATTATTTGAAATATCCTTAAACTATTTGATCAATTCTTAAAGACCTCTAAAATTCAAAAAGTTACTTAAAAGTACCCCAAAATTCTAATTTCATTAATGCCCTGTTTGATTTTATTGCTTTTAAGTACTTATTTCTATAAGTCCTTAAAAGAAGTGATGGGACCACACATTAAGTGGAAAATAAGCACTTATACATGTTTGGCAAATAAGTCAGGTATAAATGTTTATTTTCAAAAAAAAAAAACACTTAAAAAATAAGCATGTTCAATGTTGCTTTTTTAAGCACTTGTTTAATAAATGCTTATTCGAAAGTTTTGGGCGGTCCAGTCCCTAAAAGTTTTTCATAATACCCAAACTACCCTTGTGAATGGAAAAACCATTATCTTCTCCATTTGCACATTTTGAACAAAGCGGTGGTGGCAAGAGGTTGGAGAGCAGCTAGCAGCACTTTAACAACCTGAAATCGAATAGTGAGTGTGTCACTTAAAGTTTCAAACGTTCATCTACAATCTAAAATAACGTCTCTATGTTTTTTGAAGTATTCTAATGCCAATTTTCTTCTTTGTGTTATTTTTCCCATATCTGAAATTTTGGTTGGAAAACCCACCAGAAACTCGTCGGCGACCACATGTAAGGCCTCGTAATCCTACTACTCTGATCGTTTCATAGTTTTTTTTACCTTTTTTCTTTTAGATTTTAGTGAATGGAGAAAACCCTTGTCTTCTCCATTCGCCTAATTCGAACAAGGCAGTAGCGGCTATGACGGAATAGGCAACTAACGATGACGTTATCCTACTTTTCTCCTTTAATTTTATGATATGTTTTACATTTTTTATTAACCCAAAATTTCAGTTAATTCCTTATTAGTAATATGAATTAGAATTATTATCCTATTTGGTAAATTTCTCTTTGCATTTTTTGTGATGTGTATTATTATTATTATTATTATTATTATTATTATTTGGGTCCATGTGGCACCCCACATGTGGGCCCATGCGGGCTCTCACGTGTCATGATGTGGTGATGTAGTGATTTTTCATTGAAATGTATAGTATAATATGTAAAAAATGTTGTTTATATGTATGAATGAAGTGAGGGCTAAATTTGCCATTTATGCCAACATAAGCACTTGTGGGGAAAGTAGCTCACCAAACATACTCACCCCAACAAGTGCTTAAAAATACAATAAGTGATTTGGCAAATAGGTCACCAAACAGCCTTAAGTAATTGTTGAAATAAGCACTTACAATAAGCACTTGTGAAACAAGTACTTATTTTAGCAACCACTTATTCACCAAACATATCCTAAGTCTTGTTGTAAATGTTGATTATAAGGACTCTTTTGCCCTTAATTACTCTTCAAGATTTTAAAGCATACCATCGTGTAACATTTTTGCCACTCAATCTTCCACCTAAGAATTTTAGAGGGTGTTTGATAACGCTGAATCTACCTGTAATCTCTGAAAAAACTTGCTTTTCAAATGTAAGAGACGTTTGGGGTCATGTCTTAAAAGTTTACCTGAATTTTCAGATCTTAAACTTTAAGACCCAGACCAGACACTTAACATGGTCATATGCATTTCAGGTGTACCCAAACGTCTAAAGTATCCTTGAGAACAGACACTTAACTTGTTATCTCTCTCTCTCTCTCTCTCTCTCTCTCTCTCTCTCTCTCTCTCTCTCTCTATCTATCTATCTATCTATCTATCTATCTATCTATCTATCTATCTATCTCTATCTCTATCTCTATCTCTCTAAGAACTCGAAGAAACCCTTCTGGTAGCTTCAACGTCGACAACGATGTCCGCAAATCGTTTATGTTCAAGTTTCTTTGATGTAAAGAAAGAATCGTCAATCTTCACCTCTGTTGGCATGTTCTCCGTCGTCGATCTCTAGTAGAAATTCGACTCCGATGGCCTCGCTGTGGACTCCATATCGTCCAATTTGGCTTCGAGTTCACATGACGGAGTTGTCTCTCTCCTAAAGTAGCAAGCCATGGTCTCTCTCCCCCGGTCTTCCCGCCACTGCCACTACAACTCTCAACAATAGCAGTTAACACCCTCCCTCCCCCCTCTCTCTCTCTCTCTATCTCTCTCTCCCTCTCCATCTCTTCTCCACTCCCGACCATTGTCGTCTCCACCCCATTCGCTTCCTCTGTAACTAATGTAAAACAGAATATGTAAAATTAATTATTTTAATTATAATTAATTATTAAATATTTTAATAGTTTTCAAGATATTAATTTTCTAATTATTAAATATTTTTAATTGTTTCATAGACTTTATTATTATTTTAATTCTTAGTAATTTATTTTTAATTTATAAGTTTATACAAACTTTCTAATTTTATTCTTATTTTAATAAGTATTTTTTTACTTTTTATAATTTTTGTATTAATTATTAAATATTAAATACTTCAATAGTTTTAAGATATTAATTTGCTAATTATTAAATACTTTTTCATTTCTTCATGGACTTTATTACTATTTTCATTATTATTTGAACTTTTAATTATTTATTTTTAATTTGTAAGTTTATATGTATTTTTTCATTTTTATTTTTATTTTAATAAATTATTTTTATTTTTATAACTTATTCATATTTTAATATTACTTTTTGAATTTGATAATTTATTTTTTATGAAATAGTGCAAATTGAACTCAAAATTATCAATTGTTCCATTCTGCGACCAACTCATTCTCTAGGTCACCGATGAATGAAAACGGCCCATTCAAACCGGGTTTAGTACTCGCTCACCGCCATTTTGGCAGATTCAGCCCTCACTAGATGCCTTTCAGATTGCTCGACCAGGGAGTGAATCAGGGTGTTCGCCTACAAAAGAAAACAAAAGCTAGATATGGAAGATAGACCGAGAATAGAACAACGATGAGATTTGGAACTTACCATCATGAGGTAGCGCATGATTTTGCCGTCGAACTCATTGGATGCGCCTCTCGAAGTTCAACTACCTCTTTAGGAAAGACGACCTTCTTGCTCTTAATTAGGGTGGTCCAAAATCCATGATGGTATGCGTCTCCTCGGGAACGTCCTCTGCATCTGAACTACCGGTCGCCGCGGCCCCAAGTGGTAGATGGCACACCTCAGATGTCAGGGCTGCCTCAGCCTCTAGTGAGGTCCTCTCCTACTGATCTTCTCTAACCAGGTCACCACCGGAACCGCCTTAGCAGCACTTGGCGTTGTGGGCTCGGGAGCCAATATCCGAGCTACTTCCTCGTTGGTTACCTTTCTCTTCTTCTTCCTCCTCATGCTTTGAAGCAGCTTGGTAGTTGGAATCTCCTACACGAGAAGCCTACGAGTTAGTCAAACTAAAATAAAATAAAGAAAGGGAATGCTTGAGCCTAAGATGACGACCTACCCGGAGGACTCAGCTTGGCCTGAATTAGCTTCTCTTCAGTCAATAACTCACTTAGCATCAACTAGCGGTCTACAAGGTTTCACACTCTATCTTGCACCTACTCGCTCAAGGTCTCATCCCTAGAGTCTCTCACCCCCTCTCTCCAGGACGTCGAAAACGGCCACCCACCAAGCAGCTCAACTACTAAAGGAAGAAATACTTCCTCTTCCAGGCTGGCACTTTGGAAGGGAAGTCGTGTAAAAGCTTGTACCCAAGTCAGTAAGATAAGTAGTAATTGTCCCGACCCGAGGT